GGATGAGCTTCTAGCAAGCAATGAAGTTTATATCGACGATTAAATATTTGTAGAACGCATTAGTATATTCGTTTAAAATACACAGAATAAAATCGGACATAAATTTCTTTCCAACTTGATATATCCTGACAATTTTATACCCAGCAAGGGCTGATTCGCATTCATTTTATTGTGAAACTCTGAGATCTGAAGACGTATTGGTCAATGAAGCCTTCTAGATGCTAAGCAGAGTATAAAGAGACTGAAATTCTCGTTAGAAACAAAAAAAAGAATATTGAACTGTTACATGATATATGTATGACAGCGAATGGTGGACAATCTCCTCAACGATGAAGTAATGATTTGAAGCAGTAGAAATGTGGTTCTACAGAAAGATGCTGAGGATACGATGGATCAAACATGTGAGCCACGACGAGGTTTTCGATAAAATGGAAACTTATACTTACCACCAGAAAGAGGCAGCTGAAATTTCTGGAGCACGTAATGAGGAAGGAGTGCTTGGAAAATCTGATACTCACAGGACATATTGAGGGAAAGATGGACAGAGGAAAGCAGCGCGTAACATACTGGATGAGCTTGAGTTGATGGATGGTAGAAAAGGGTTTGTGAGAAATAACAAAAAGACAAAACATATTAAGAGCTACAAGGGAAACAGGAAGATGTGGAGGGCCATTATCCCTTGCGCCCTGAAGGGACACGGCACGTAAAATAAGATTGAGTTACATAATGTATATATATATATATATATATGTTTGTGTGTGTGCTTATATGTTACAGCCAGTGTCTGAGAGAGAAAGAGTATTGGAAAAAGACATTTTCTTGAGTATTCAAATATTTGCTTGGTCCTCGTGAGGGCCGAGTCGGAAAACTGGCCATCACCGACAGAAGAATATGAATTATATTGATTAAGATGTATTATATAACAAAACGCGTTTAGTTTTGTTCGAATTCTAGCTGCGTATTGTCTGCCAGAGTAGCATTGTCTGAAGTGACAAGGCGAAGCCCTCGGGATCGCACAATCATTCAGTTTCGATTTTATATTCACAAAGAGCAATAAATTACAAAATATGTCCCAGAAGCTACAATATAAAAAAAGGCAAGAAAATAAACAAAAAAGAAAAGAAAAAAAATATTTACAAGGAAGTCAAAATTTTAACAAAGTAATCGAAAATATACAAATGGTCTAGCCATGTCATAATCGTTCCATTCAAAGTCTGCGGTAATGGTTTTACATATATATATGTGATAGCTGGCTGTTCGTGTCTGTTGGGGGCGGTTCGTCAATCCCTGTTGCAGATGCTTTCTCAGGCACATTTGTGTTTGTTTAACACGCACGGATCCCACCGCTGTTTTATACAGCAGCTATGCTCAGCTGAACTTAGTTACAGTTACAGGGAGAGCGTATTATCTGGCGTGAAGAACAGTCAGAACAAGGGCAGTATGCTGAAAAACTCGGTCACGATGACTTACGACTTCGTGCTAGGACAACCATCGACAGTTCCCAAATAATTCCCTCGAGCCAGTTTTGCTGACAAACTTAATCAATGTTTGGGATTTCATGCATTTTTTCGAAGGCGCAATACGCTGGGCCGAATTACATCAAGAAGTCACGTTCCTGAACACAGTGATAACCTTGGTCTAATGATTGGAAATCCAAAGTTCTAATTACTTGGCCACGCATCCGAATACAGATATAACTTCCTGTGTGTTAGATAAGGGAAAGTCACTCGTCTTTTCTTCTTTTAAGGGTTTTTCTTGCAAGACACCTCACAACGGGATAAAAAGAAAGTCGAAAGTAAATGTATGCCTTTCCGGACGTTCCTTAGAGAATATAAATAGTTTTAGTCGAAATTTGACTCGAATTATTAATGACACGGCCAATGCGCCACACCTCTCACTGAAATAATTATTATAATATGTTATGGTAATAAAAGATGAAGTGAAACGTAAAAGACATTTTCATTTTTATGGTGAATGCATCATTTATATTGTATATCTCAAATGGGTTCTATATGGACCCTGGGGTGTCAATGTAATATTACTGGGGTCCACACAAAAATAGAAAATTGGGGTTTCACAGTAATATTTTAGTAGTTCATTGAGCAATTCGGAATGGATGTTACAACTGTGAATTGGAATAATAATCTGCACCATATTAGATTACAACAAACAGAAAGACCTCTAAAACTAGCAAAAATCAAGTGATCTAAGTAGCGTCCTTTTACTCTACAAGATGATTTGATTATAATAGTTGAATAACAACAGATAAGTATATATAAAAAGGAAGGATATATAAAAATATATATATATATATATATATATATATATATATAATCCTTCTTTAATAATCCTTATAATATTTATCCTTTTATAATCCTTATATATATATATATATATATATATATATATATATATATATATATATATATATAAAAAGAAAAGAATAGATATATAATCCGGTGTTCTTATAAATATTTTTTTTTTTACATTACAGAGCTCAATGTAAATTTGCAGAGCATAAATATTATAAATTAACTGATTTAAAATATGGTTCATTCGCTACACAGGAATTACCCTGTTTCAAAAACCGAAGCTAAAAACTTCAAATTTAATTATATAATTAAATAAAAAGCATTAGTTCTGTTTCATCTTCAAACGAAATTTGGAATCCAAATTTGGATTCCAAAATTCGCTTGAATAACTAATGCTTTTAATTTAATTATATATTTAAATTTGATGTTTATAAAGAAAAATTATATAAATATCATAATTTATTATATAAATTAATTTAATATATTAAAAATAAATAACAATATTAATTGCAAATATTAATAAAATGAAAAAAATAATATAAATTAATTATTATAGTAGTACTTTATTCGACGTTATGAAAAGGGTTGATTTTCGATTATCATTGAAATCGATGGAGCCGAATAAATAAAAAACCTGCAGGGATCTCATTGAATAAATCTGCATGTTTTTAAATTTATTAATTACTCACATATTTTAAAATGGTTTATTATGAGTTATTTTACTAGTGTACATATATGTTCCATAGAATTTAGTTGTTAAATACAAGGTTATTTATATTAGATTAGTTTTACGTCAAAATAAAGCGTATACATTTACTATTACTATAATATAATTTCGAAACTTAAAATAAAAATAAAATAAGCTTTATTTATTGAATGGTTATGGGGCTATACTAAAATAAATTAAGAGTAAATGTGATCCGTGAGTAAAAAAAACATGTTAAGAACTGCTGGTTTAAATAAAAGCTGGCGCAACAAGCAAAAAAGACAAGGCAATGTAGATATGAGTTTATTTTCGGACGTACCATCTTTTATCGATTACACAAGGGATTCTGCCTTCTCCCCCTTCGATCGAAAGTTTATATACCTTCCACTATCCGGTGTGTGTAGATTCCAAATTCAACTGGACTCACTTTTTGATGCGCCGACATTTTGAGGCCTGATTCAGCATTTGGTAGATTTGTAATGGCTTTGCGGAATCTTATGTTTTTCAAATCAAAGCTCAATTTTTATCTGCTCAACCCCCTTCTTCATAATCTTAACTTCCTACTTCCTCTTATATTAATCTCAAACACCTCATTCTGTAATTTCTCTACCTTGAGTGGCTCACGAGACTTGTATTTGATGAACTTCTGTAAAAGAGACAAAAAAGAAAATATACTTTTACTTCATACTGCGGAACCCCCAAAAAGTCATTACTACCATTATTGCAATATAAAAGCTAAGTTTTAATACGGCATGTTTACGATCAAAAATTTCCTAATTTTTCTTTACACTCAGTATTGATCTTAGGGCGAGAAAGATGCAAATATTGATTCACAGACCTCTTCGACTTCGACTTCGTCTTTTTCCTCACATCTCTCAAAGTTTTTTTGGTTTTATTAATGCACACACGTGAATATCGTTTAATTACGAAGAAAAACATTTACGAATACCTGGCAATTATAGTTATCTTTAAAAACGACACGGCTAAAATCCCGTGTCCATCGATTTTGCATATAACGATTTAAATCAACTCGCAGAAAAAAAGGAAAAAACAAAAACAAAGAAGAATCCCACTTGTTAATAATTGACTTGTGAACTATTTATTTAGCAAACCTTGAACCCACTGATAACTGAACTCCTTCCTGTACTAAAGGTCTGCGAGAAACCAGACGCCAAAAATATTTTACTTGTATTTCTTGTTTTCGTACAAGGAATGTCTGAAAAGTAAGCCACAATGATTCCCGAATTAAACATATTATACCAATCAAATATTCTCACTTTTGAAGCCTTGAGCGTTTTCAAAAACATGTACGCAGCCTCGTTTGAGTTTACTTACGGTATATAATCGCGTATCATATCATCTTCAAAGATATAATTTTGAAACTAATTGGACTACAGTAAATGGATATATAGTTTGCTCAACTGCATAGCCAGGGCCAGCATTACATCTGCTAATCTTATATGTCATGTATCATGCGACCCCCTTAAAATTAGCTACAAAATTAGGTCTTCAAAAGTTGTATGATACACGAGTATATACGGTATTTTCCATCGCTTTCCCAGAGATTGAACACGGCAAGTCTATCTCTGCTTTCAAATGTTCTGGCAATCTACATTCTTTTGTGCCACCAACGTAGACCGTTATTACCAGGACTTACCTTTCTACATCCAGGGATCGAATCAGCTCCAATTCATTCGTATCCTTTCCCCAGGAAGCGGTACTTTCAGAAAACTACGCACTGGTTCTCGTACGATCATAGAAGTTAAGCAACGACGAGTCTAGTCAGTATCTAAATGAGTGACCACTTGCGAAAAACACATTCTCGGATGTGTGGATAGTATATCTCACGGCCATATCATGTTGAAACATTGGTTCTTGTACGATAACGGAAGTTAAGCAACGTCGAGTCTGGTTAGTATCTTGATGGGTAACCGCTTAGGAACACCAGTTACTGTAAGCTTGGATGGGCCGGTGGTATAATTGACGGCCATATCACGTTGAAACATTTGTTGTCGCACGATCACTGAAGTTAAGCAACGTCGAGTTTGGTCAGTACCTAAATGGGTGAACGCTTGGGAATACCAGGTGCTGCAAGCTTGAATGTGCGGGTAGTGTAATGGACAACGTCTCAGAATTGGAAACCAGAGAGCCGATTTCCAATTCTTGCCAGATTCTTTATATTCACTTACGAGCAAAGAACGTTGGAGAAGGTATGGTTTCACCACTTCTACCCAGCTATGGATCATTTGGGAGAACTTATATCAGTAACTCATGATTATCTCAAAACAAAATTCATACAATCAAGAAATATTTTCTCGCTTTAAATAACCTGCAAAAGGTTGATAAGCCATAAAAAAAAATCTTCGAAGACATAATCTTGAAGCTAATTGAAATACAGTAAATGGATATATAGTTCGGCCAACGGCGTAGCCAGGCAAGCATTACATACGCTAATTTTATATCATGTATCATGCGACCCCCTTAAAATTAGCTATAAAATTAGATCTTCAAAAGTCTTTCCCAGAGATTGATCAACACAAGTCTAGAGAAATTATGGATTCACCTACCCAGCTATGGATCAACTGGTAGAACTGGTATATACGCGTGTATCATACAACTTTTGACGACCTAATTTTGTAGCTAATTTTAAGGGGGTCGCATGATACATGACATATATGATTAGCAGATGTAATGCTGGCCCTGGCTATGCCGTTGATCAAACTATATATCCATTTACTGTAGTCCAATTAGCTTCAAAATGATGTCTTTGAAGATGATCGGTGAATCATGATTATCTCAAAACAAAATTCTTACGATCCAAAAATATTTTCTCGCTTTAAATAACCTGCAAAGGGTTGATAAGCTATAAAAAATAAACCAATCTATAAAACCCAGAACACTACAATACTGAAATTTTCAATCTAGTGCCATTACTTATCTATCAAACCATATCCTCAAAATCATCATTCCCTACTTGCTCCTCTTATGTTTGAATCACACGCCCTATTCCTTAACCTTCTACTTTGAGTGGCTCTTGGGTCTTATACGTTTTAAAACTATTAGCAACAATATCCTCAAAATCATCATTCCCTACTTGCTCCTTTTATGTTTGAATCACACGCCCTATTCCTTAACCTTCTACTTTGAGTGGCTCTTGGGTCTTATACGTTTTAAAACTATTAGCAACAATATCCTCAAAATCATCATTCCCTACTTGCTCCTTTTATGTTTGAATCACACGCCCTATTCCTTAACCTTCTACTTTGAGTGGCTCTTGGGTCTTATACGTTTTAAAACTATTAGCAACAATATCCTCAAAATCATCATTCCCTACTTGCTCCTTTTATGTTTGAATCACACGCCCTATTCCTTAACCTTCTACTTTGAGTGGCTCTTGGGTCTTATACGTTTTAAAACTATTAGCAACAATTCGATATTACTTAACTACGTGGTGGTCATCATGGTTGATGGACTTGTAGCTTCTTTGAGCGAGAACATATACATTGCTAGAAGAACTATGTGTGCCACCAGATCCACCCTTGTAACTCTGCACAGGATCACGAATGATGAGATCTGAGGTCATAATGCTACCACGGAGAAAACGTTTCTATCACCTGAAAGTATCTATCGTCCCAAACTATAAATTCAAAGCACAGCAGTCACTGAAGAAATTGATAGCGACTGTATTTTCGGAAGAAATACGTGTGTTGCTCCTAGAATGCATGGTCAGGCTAAATATACAGTGCAACCTCTGTCCTCGAACGTCTTACATGTCGAACAAATCGCTTTTCGAACAGAGATTTCAGGATGAAAATGACTCGGTTATCGAACAAAATCTCGGTTCTCGAACAACATTGACGAACCGAGTTAACCCGAACGGAATCATTTCGGAGTCGACCGCCGTGTTGTATAAATTCGTGTGTTGTTGCGTGCTTTTCTTTTCCAATTTTATTGTACTTTGGCCCCACCCTTTTTTTCTCTTCATAAGTCCCCAGCCATGACTCGAAAGAAAGCTAGCAGTGATACTAGAAAAAAGAAAAATTAAGAGAAAACAATTGTTGATGATATTGTCTCTTCTTACTCAGTTTCATATGGCAAACTCAACGATCTATACTATTCATATAAAGAGATGATCATGTCTCTCCTCCCCCTTTCCAAATAATATCTTTCCTTCCCCTTACGACATCAACTCTCCTATATAGAGGTACGGTAAAATTAAAATGTTCGTCTACATTTTATCTATTTAGTATTGTTTCTATCACCTGAAAGTATCTATCGTCCCAAACTATAAATTCAAAGCACAGCAGTCACTGAAGAAATTGATAGCGACTGTATTTTCGGAAGAAATACGTGTGTTGCTCCTAGAATGCATGGTCAGGCTAAATATACAGTGCAACCTCTGTCCACGAACGTCTTACATGTCGAACAAATCGCTTTTCGAACAGAGATTTCAGGATGAAAATGACTCGGTTATCGAACAAAATCTCGGTTCTCGAACAACATTGACGAACCGAGTTAACCCGAACGGAATACTCTTTACATTATTCGGACTATTGTCTTAATCTTTGTCGCCATATTTATTACAACGTTTCGGACGTTCTACGCTCCGGCCTTCTTCAGGTGGTTGGAATGTCGAACTGAACCCTTCATTTCGCTCACTGGGATAAACTGTTCTAGTTCCACGTGCCATATTTAATTTATTGGATATCAGTTATCAGTTATCTCCTGTTAATTCTCCTCTCCAAGTTCTCCACCGCCTTAACCGGGTATTTGGGTCCTCTCACTGGATCTAACTAACGTCTTTACCCACTGTGCCATGTGTCCTTCAGCGTACAACGGCCTAAACGTTGTAATGAATATGGCGACAAAGATGAGGACATTAGTCCGAATAATGTAAATAGTGTACATAATACCCCATGTCAGAAATATAGACAGATACCGAACGGAATAATTTCTGTCTCGACCACCGCGTTGTATGCATTCGTGTTTTGTAGCGTGATTTTTTTTGTTTTCAATTTTATTGTACTGTGACATATTTTCTCGACATTGATTCCTGTTGGAAAAATAGTTTTGGTTTACGAACATTTCGGTTTACGAACTGCCTTCAGGAACGAATTAAATTTGTGAACCACTGTACTGAGTAATGTTGGACAGATTGAGAGATGATGCCTGTCGTGAGAGTCCAAGGTAATCTTCCTGAATGATGACCCGTAACTTTAGCTCGGTCAACCTGACCAAAAGATTGGTTCGATATGGTTGCGAAGCTTGAACATATCCGCCGCATAACACTGACTTCCCTCGTTCTGATTATCATTTATATCGTCCCCTTAAATGATATTTATCAGGGAAGTTGTTGTACACATTTGTTGAAGGGGTGCATGGGAAATTCCAGTCGCTTGGCGATGCGTTATTTGATGGGGGTCTTTTTGCGTTCCTTCAGCGATAATACAGTTGTACGAATATCGACAAAGACGATATGGAATCGTAGCATAAGAGTGTTCTATTATAGTAAGAATGTATTATTTGCACTTTGGAATAGCAAAAGATGGCTGCCAAAAAGCTAAGCAAAGTTTTAAGAGAAAGAAAGATGATACTTAAATATGTGATATACCTTTCGAGTATGATCGACCAGAACAACACCCCACTAAAGTATGTGATCTACGTGTTGAGACAAAAGTATTAAAATACAGTAGAATCCCTCATATCCAGAATCCTTCATATCCGAAATCATAACCAGAATCCCTCATATCCAAAATCATATCCAGAATCCCTCATATCCGCAATCCAGAGTGCCCCATATCCGGAATCTCGCATACGCAGGCATAATTATGATGTGTATATTTGAACTATTTGGGTCATATGTAACTGATTTGAAATTTCTGTTTTTCAGGAAATTTACTTTGGATAATTGCTTACTTATGCTTATTTCACCCTAATGGCTTGTATTGATGCAAAAGAGTTGCAATGAGACATATCTGCAACAAGATAGCGACGAGATGCATGAGTTAGATGAAACCTGGACTGAAATTGAAAAAGCTATTGAAAAGGTTGTCAGTTTTATGGAAAGAAAGCTATGACGATTTCAGTAACTCACGCAGAGTTAAAAAGTGTCTTTCGATTAAAAAATTTCAAGAACAAAAGCAAAACGAAATGCGGAAAAAGTTGAGAATGACATTAGAAGAGAAAGAATCATCATGCAACAGCGATTAAAAAAATCTCGTTACATTATTTGTTTTGCATACGTGGCATATTTAATTTAATGAATTTTCATTAACATCATATAATTTATTTCTTTTCCTTTAAAATCAATTCCGTTATATTTCACTCACCATTAACTTATTTTCTTTACTATAAAACATTGATAATAAATGTTAAACTAGATTTCATATTATGTTTATTTTAATCTAAATATAAGCCCTCATATCCGGATTTCGTAACCAATTCCTCATATCCGGAAGGCCTTCTTAGTGCGCTTGTTAGGGATTCTATTGTAGAAAAATAGATATATACGGAATAAAACAAGAAAAAGAAATGCAATAAATATATTTCGGTGAATTGAATCGAATGACTATCCTGGAAATGAAAAGGAATGTTAAGACTTATTCTTTACCGGAAATAATTTGCAGAATTCTTTTGCTCTCATGTTAAATTGTCGCAATAAGGAATGGGAATAATATATATTTTTTAAATACTTCTAATTTATATACAAAATCCACCGGAAGCCTTCATTGTCTGTGCTACATAGGTGTTACTTAAGCAAAGTTTCGCATGTAGAAAATATTCTTTAAGGGAGATTACATATTTTAGAAGAATCATGTGCGTCGATAACGTACCTAGCACTGATAGAAAAAAAAACTCGTTAGAAATCATGAAAACTAGATTCTTAAAATGGTATGTTATATCAGTCCTCCAATCAGTGAATACTTCACGGTTTCTTGAACAATGAAGAAGGGAATTATGTGACAGAAACGTGTGTTTTATAAACGGCTGCTAAGACTAGAATTGTTGCAATACACCCCGCAACAGGTTAATAGCTTAGTAGTGAAATTTAGGATCTCTTGGTTTTCTGTGACTTGATTATGCTAAAACCGTTCTT